TAACAAAAAAACTGTTTAAAATTAAAAAAAAAAAAAAAAGAGGCCTGCAATGGCTCGGTCGGTAGGCGACGGACTCGCACCCGGTAGGCCCGGGTTCGATTCCCAGTTCCTGCTGATTGATACAAGCACCACTGAAAAAAGTTTCATGTGCTTTGTTCTCAAACACATTGCAAGCCTCCGTCGCTGATTAGCACTGATGAAGCATAAATAGAGCGACGTTAAATAAAAAAAAAAAAAAATTAAAAAAAAGAATGTTACCAAAAATTTACTGAATCCATCAATTTCAATACTAATCTAAAATATACGTGGGATACAGCAAAAATTTTCAAAAATAAATGGATTAAAATAAGACCGTAGAGTAAAAATGAATATACAACAAGTAGTAAAAAAATTGAAACAGCCCTCAACAGTATGTGCTCCGACCCGGCTCCTCGCGAACCCTTTGATATACCGCCTTCCACAGATAATTCCTTTTTTGATGACACATTTACTTATATTGAATTTAATACGGCTTTAAATTCAAGAGGCGACAAATCTGCTCCAGGGCTCGATGGTATTAATTACAAAGGATTGCACAATCTACCGATTAAGTATCATCTGATACTGTTAGACCTTCTTAACGAAATTTATCGAAAAGACGCATATCCGGACAGTTGGCGAAATACTTACTTACATTTTGTTGAAAAACCAAATGGTAAAGGCTTACGACCATTAGCGTTAACATCTTGCAACTACAAACTCTTTGAACTGATGTTGTCTTATAGAATTCGTTGGTGGGTTGAAAACCAAAACATTCTGCCTCAGAGCCAAGTTGGTTTTAGGAAAGGTATGTCCTGCACAGATAACCTTACGGCCTTCAAACTTGATGTTGAAAACGCAATAAAAAATAATAAGCATGTCCTGGCAGTTTTTTTAGATGTTAGTAACGCTTTTAATGAAGTAAACATTCAGATCCACACTAGCTAATAAGGGATGCTCAACAAAGATATTAAAATTTATCAAATTCCTAACTCACCATAGATTTATTTTTTCGGAAATCAACTTAGATGCTCCAAAAGACTGTTACAAAGGCATTCCACAGGGAGGGGTTTTAAGCCCATTATTATATATTCTATACGTAGCTGATGCATTCAATGATTTAGGCATTGAAATAAAAAACTTGCAATTCGCGGATGATGTAGTTCTATATATTGTAACAGACGACCCAGATGCCGCAAAACCTTTGCTTGAAGAAGCAATGAAAATAGTCACAAACAGGCTAAGAGCAATCGGCATAGAGGTTTCGATAGAAAAAACAAGCTATGTACATTTTAATAACCAAAAATATATGCCTGGCGATACCGAAATCTTATAGGACGATATAAGTGTGCCCTCGACAAGCCACGTTAAATTTCTAGGTCTGTTTCTTGATTACACACTGTCATTTGACAAACACTTGAAATATATCCATGAGAAAACGAATAGAGCGTTGAATATCATTAAATTTCTCAGAGGCGTATGGTGGGGTGCTCACCCCACTACTCTACTAATATTCTATAAAAGCTATCTGCGATCAATTATAGATTATGGCTCGTTTATTTATTATCCTACTCAAAAAGGAAAAAGAGAAAAGCTTGAAAAAATTCAGTTTTCAGCCATCAGAATGGCACTTTGAGCTAGGTTGAGCACGCCCACCAATGTCTTGCTAGCTGAATCTAAGTTAACAATGTTACAACACAGAACAAAAATTCTTTGTATTAACTTTCTCCTGAAAGTATTTAGTGTCAAGCGCTCAATAACAAGAAAAACTATTGAAAAGTATATTATAGATATTGGCACCGATAGAAAGAAGAAAATAAACGTCCTGAATGAGTGTATTAAACATGTTGTTAGCATCAGTCACTTAATACATGATGATGATTTTTCTAGCCTTTATAATTATGATAATAGAATCATGGAAATTCAAATCAATACCAATGATCAATTCGGAAATGATAAGTGGTGAATAATAATATTATTCAAGACTTAAGAATAACAACTTAAGAATAGTGATAACCCAGACAACATTTTTAAAAACACCTTTGACAATGTTCCGTCTATCAAAATATTCACAGATGGTAGCAAACAGGAAGGCCGTCCGTCAGTTGGCAGTGCTTGCGTCTGCCCTGACTTAAATGTTATCAAAACGAAAAGTGTCATCAACAAAGCATCTATATTCACCGCTGAGTGCATGGCTCTGTTGGACGCTATGGATATTGCTCTTGAATTTATAAATTACAATATAGACATTTTTACTGACTCCCTGAGTGCTATACAAGCGTTAAAAAATCCGAAAAACAAAGTTGACATTAATTACCATATTCTCGAAATAAGGAAAAAATACCTTACGTTTAACAACAAAAGTAACGGAAAATCTACGGTCACCTTTTACTGGATTCCAGCGCATATTGGAATCAGTGGCAACGAGCTCGCTGATCAACAGGCCAAAAAAGCCACAGAAGCATTGCTATTTATCAAGAGCATACCGTATAGCGATTTCAGACCATTCTTTAAAGCTCTGATAAATAATTCAACTATCAAAAAAATTAAGGAAGATAGCTTACACAAAGGCAAAACTTATTTCGAAAGCTTTTACGATGAATGTAGTAAACCCTGGTTTACCAAATACACATTAAAAAGAGATTTTATAGTAACATTTTGTAGATGTCGTAGTAACCACCATAGTTTATGCGAATCTCTTTATAAAATTAAGGTAATAGAAGATAATATATGTGAATGCAAATGGGGAGTACAAACACTCAACCACATAATATGGCAATGCCCATTGTTTGAATCACAGAGAAGCAGCTTAATTAAATCATTGGCAAAGGCCAAAATGTACCCTCCATTTGACATAAAAACATATTTGAGCAAACCCAATATTAAAGTTATGCACTTAGTTTATAATTTTATTGAAAAATGAAAATAAAAATCTAAGGCTTCAGATATACTCGTATGTACAAAAACCAATGTATACATATTTATTGTATAAATATGTAGTCCACTCTTTTTTACATTTATAACATAATTATTCCTGTATTAAGCTAAATAACTATGTATATATTAGTTAATAAAGCTATAAATTAAAAAAAAAAGTAATAATAATAACAACAACAACATTTAGTAAGTAAAATTTCATTTTTTTTATAAACTATATAAACTATGCAATATAATTTTAAGTACATTTCTCAGAGCATTTGCTGGTTATTTTTCGAAAAGTATAAAGCTTGTGCACTTCGTAATAGCAAGAACAAATTTAACCCATTTAGTTAGAGAACATATTTCTCTTTGTGAGCTTTCGACAAATTTTTTGTTGTCTGCATGTCTTTTTACATTCTTTCTGAACATATTTTCATACAGTTCTTTCTTTATCGTCATAATGAAAATAGTAGTGATCAATTGTTAAAGTGAGTTATGATGAATATTAAAAAAATTAAAGCTTTCCATGTTATTTTAAAAGTAAGTTTGCTGGACATAAGTTGCTTTTAACCATCTCAAGAAATGCTCGCGTTCAACTTGAGAATTCTTATTCGGTAGAATTAGAAAAATCTTCACATGTATTATTATAAATAATATTTCTATTTTAGAATTAAAAACAATTGATCAAATAAAGCAACAAAAATGTCTTTATTGATTACACGCGTTGAAGAGTATAATAAGCTAACATAAAAAAATTAAATAGGGCAAACTGTGTTTCATTCGTTTTGTGAAAAGACAAAATATCCCATGATTAACTATTTTACACCTGGTTGTATTGGTTGCATTCACTTGTGTTCTTATTCAATAGTACATGTGTGTGCGCGCGTTCTGTCTATCGGTAAGATTTTTTAACGCGATGGATTTTTACGAGTGTTTATTAACCCGTTTGGAAATTTTCAAAGGTGAATGGAGAAATGTTTTTAGAAATATTTATCGACTAGAAAAAATGCTATGGCTATTTCCCAAACAAAATAGTTAAAGTAAGGTTCGAACACAATTACAATACGGAAACTGCTCTACTTTTAATTAAGAATGGATATTTAACGCGTTAACTTTGAAGCTTATAACATGCAGCACCATTGCAATTGGAAATTCGGCAAACAACGTATAAGATCGAGCAGAGAGCGAGCTGTCTCAGCCGAACGCTAGGTCAATATTGAATCCTCGGAAGGTTGATGAGTAGTTCGATACTTCGCTTCGACTGGGCGCGGCGAACACCCCGCGCAAATATGTTATACGGGAAAAGTCATATGCGTTGGACTCGATGAGGCAACTACGCAGCATTCAGCATACCTCTGCGATTCTCTCTAGCGCTAAAGCCATTTCCGAGTGATACGCGAAAAAATTTAAATAAAGCTCATGGCAGGTCTCGGTTAACGACGCCGCGCCAGCACCACTCGACGTGGCCATAAAAAAGACCAGAGTGAACCTACGTGCGTATTACCGCGCTGCAGGCTTTGAGAACGCGCTCTTGTTTATTAAGGCCACGCGCAAGAATGCACTTTTGCTGCCAGCTCCACTTCCTACTCTTTTAATTTGAATTTTTAAATGAAATAATCCTCGCGCGCGCGCGTATGCTCGTTTTCAGTGCTCGACTTTAACTATATTGACGTCGCATAGCCGACATTTTTTTCATATCAGAGCACGTCCAATTAAACTACTGAGTCCTTTCAAACGCGCCAAAACAGTAAAACTTTTGCGGTGAACGTCTGATACTAGCTCAACGAATTATGAAATTTCAGCCACGTAATTAATCTAATTAACTAGATGCAGGAAGTAGTGCGGCAGAATCAGCATACCGAGAGAGAGAGCTAATGCGCAATTTATTTTTAAATTAAAGATATAAGGCAGACTCATCAGTTTCGTTCATCAACAGCGTCTCAGCAATTTCCATTCAGAAGCCATATATTTTTTTTGGTTAATCAATTTACTTCCAGAGCATGATTACGGAATGAACATAGATGCAAGTGAAATAAAGAATATTTAGTAACGTGAATTCTCACCTACTACTGTTAACTGAAGTATTACTCCGGCTCCGTCTTGAAATAATGGAGTCTCCGCGATTCACGACTCCCTTTTGAGTTATATTGAAAGCTCGAAGTCTGTACAAGTCATCTCCAGCACGAGGGTTGTATGCTTTTTCCGGCAAACTGTGTACTCGCGGTCTTATATGATCAGGCACTGTAACACAATTCATATTGGAGAAATAAATTTTTGTAATTGTGTCTTGAATAAAGAAACCATTTTTATTACATATTAGCATGTGCTTGTCGTTTTATTTCTATTAGAGTGCCGTAGCCTCCGTAATAATCAGTTTTGAAAACAACGTTGCTTCTATGCAGTGAAAGCATCTAATGGCTATATGCCTTATTGAAGGCTACCACGCTCCAAACAAATGCGTAAGTTTACTTTTGAAACTGCACCGCATAATTAGATCAAAATCTATTGATTTAGTGTTCCACAGCTCTTGTATGCCTATAGTATTACATCGGTGTAACGTCTGTAGTGCACTTTGCTACTTTTATTAGGAAACTTGTCACCTTCAACAAATGTACCTTTATTCATGATGAAGAGAACGTGATTTTTATTATTTATTTTTGTATTTTTTTGAAAATGATCTATTATTGGATTTTCAAGAGCTTAGAATATATGATTGCTATTTTATTTGCAAGAAACCTTGAAAAACGAACTTTTCCTGCAATTGAAGTACTTTAGCGAAACATTTTGAACCGTCTGATCGATCATGCATTCAATTTTTATTTCAGATATAATATTGGAAAAATTATTAACCACGTGGACGGATTATTAGAGATTGGCTACATTGGATTTTACGACTTCAAAGTCAAAAGGAAAAAAGTGAAATACAAACGAAAAATGCGTTCTGAAAATATTACAAACTATGAGGAATATTGAACAATTGTACTCGTTTTTCATTTGCGATGGAACGTCTTCAAATATACCTACACATATTCTACTTATGATTTCTCGCGCGTTCAACTCTACATAGAGTTGCCCGAAGGTTTGTTGATAGCTTCATCCCTTCAATTTTTTTCCAGTAAATCGTATCAATATCAGTCCTTATAATACTCATTTCATTTTTTTTTTTCATATTCTTGTAACATAATTCACGCTAATCGTCATTCAATGAAGATTTATTTGCAATATCAATAAAGATTAATGTAAACAAGAATCATTTTATAGTAAAACAAAATGTTTGAGAATTACAACAAAACAAAACTGTTTGACGAAAAAATAATTTGTCGTAGAGATAAAGTTAAAGTGAAAGTAAAAGGTAGCAATGAAAGATGATAGGCTGATTATTTTGTAGCTATAAATTAATTGATCAGATGATGCAGAGAAATAGATTTAAAAATTTATTAGTGGACGGCAGCTTTTCGCGAGTTTTCAAGTAGAAACTACTCTTCCGAGGAAGAAACTAGTGAAGCTGTACCCAAGAGATCAATACCATTATAGATAGCAAAGGTAGTAAAAATCAATGTCTATTAAGATCGTTACTCGAATATATGGAGGCTTGCGAACATGGCCTCGGATCTCTGGCTTCCTTTCTGCCTCATCGTAGCTCTCACTTTCCACGACGTGCCTTTCAGCGTAATTCATCGATGAGAAAAATCAATGTATGTACCTTCATCGCAACTCTCACGATAGGAATTCAAGTAGCGAGATTAATAATACGCAATGAAGCCGAGGAAGTCATTCTCACTTCTTTGTCCCTTCCAACCATTTGCTCGTTCACCATCACATCTGTAGTTACTGAGTACCATCCTGCTCTCCTGTTTTTCTCTCGCCGTAATTCTTGTTGGAGAAAAGCTAAAGGTTGCAAAAGAAAGATTATTCTGAAAGTAGAAAGCATCATTTGATGTTGTAAAAGCAAAGTGTGATAAAAGATGTTGCGCCAAGTAGTATTGAATAATACGATATGCCAAAGGGATTGAAGCAAAAAGTTTTTCCATTCAAGGTATGCAGCCTCGAATGTCTCATTACTTATCTTTCAATAAAAGTTTCTTGCATATATAACATTCACAGTTTATCATACGGATATCTCGCAAAGTTTAATGAAATTAATCTGCGTTTATTTAAAATGAGCAAAATGTTACTTGATATCTAATGAAATTGAGCTGATCGTTTGCATTGATTTATTATAATATGTATATAATATACGTTAATACATTTAATCTCTATATCTAAACGTATATATCTACTTAAGTTTCTAAGCTCCCGAGCCGACTTGAACTCTCGAACATCAGTTGTGAAGCAATGGCATATTGGAATGATAATACAAAAAAAAAATACACGTAGCTTGTTCTGTCCGACTCTGATCTGTTTATGCAATTTTTTTAAATGTATGCATTCACTGAGATAAACTTTATTCGAATCTGGCCAAACCACAAACTAATTTCACTCGCTAGAGTATTTTAATGCAAAATCCACGTAGGGACTAATCTGCCGGGATTATCCAAATCCTCGGAGATGAAAGTACGGGTCCTGATTTCGGAATAATATAGAAATTACAGAGAGTTGTTATAATGAAGCTTTCTCTTTCCTTCAGTGAATAGAGCACGAGAGGTGAAAAGACGACAGACTGAAAGAGATTTGAACACGACGGTATGTATCAGAGAAAAAGGATTCGAGTCGATTAGAAGGAAGGGCTTTATTTATTGATGTCTCGTTTTTATTCGAGAAATATTTTAATATTTTTGGCCGCGGCGAGGCCAGTGGTTGGTGCTTTTTTTTAAAGCTTGTCAAGAAAGCAAGATGCGACAAAAGTTGATTTGAGGCGCATGGCTGGAATAATCATATGAAGTGATTGCGACCCAAATTGTGAATTACGAGGACTGGCCTACAAACGTGCATTCGCGGCCATGGGGGTGGTCGTCCCAATCGTTGGTCACGTGTACCATCGCATACACAGAATGCACACGTACAAACGGGCGTATCAGCTGAGGCCGCAGCGAGCAGCACTATAATTATTCGAGGCAACAGGCAAGAGGGTATGCACGTCACCATTAGTATTCAGGGCTTGGATCGAGCGTCGCGTCGAGCAGAGAGCCGTTAACGGGACGTGTTGGTTTTTGAGAGTACACGTGTACTTACGATCGGCTGCTGCGTCCTTTGCGAAAGTTGGGCTGCAACGAAATCAGTGCTTGCGCACGTGGAAGCCGAAGCGCCCGGGTGCGCGCGAGACAGAGAGAGAGGGAGAAGTTTGATTTGATTTACCATTATTTTTAACCTTGGGGTAGAACCCCGTATGGTTTTCATGGACCAGATAAATAGATAAATAAAATCAATAGAACAAGGTATACGAGACAAGCGGAATACATGAACGATGCGTGAACAATGATGCCGATGAGTATAACAAAAATTGAGTAACAAGACTGCGTAAACATGTTATACAGTAAATAGAGAAAGTAGAGAGGGAGCCGAAATTGGATGAGAGGCGGAGGGACGAGTTGTGCTGTAAATAGGCTTGCAAGTATGGAGCCATCGCTGGAGTTTTGTCAAAGCGCGTGTCCAGTGTGGGCAAGGGCACGCGGGCACGTTGCACGCTCTGCTCGTGCAGCATGTACGCCTACCTTAATCACTCAATTTGGCCGCCGTGCGCCTCGACGCACTACAGCCGCGTTGCACGTGCGCTCGCCGCGCTTTGTATCCGCGCCGCGCGTCCCGTGTCAAAGCAAGCGCGATGACTTTTTTGCCGCTGCAGTCGCGCACGTCGTTAATTCACTTCCCTCTCCGTTTCCGCGGCGCATTGTCTAGCTTTCGTATGGCGCTGCTTTCGTGCGGACTCGCGCTGTATGAGCTCGTTGTTAATTCTGCTTATGAGCCAGCGGCTTTGCCGTGTAGCCCAAACTCTCCACCTTGCACGATACAATCAATCGCGCGCGCGCGTCTCTGCTTTTTTAGCGATTGTTTCCGCTGACGTTCTGGCTGCGCAAGCATAACAACAGCAATGTATCTCGCAAAAGGTGCACTGGACGGACTAGGCCAATTGATTTACAGCTGCCAGTCTGAGAAATGGTAAAAGGGATACCAATTCGACAAAACACGTATTCTCAGTAGAAAGTAGTATTCGCGGCAGACTTGGATAAAAATGCCCGGCATTGCGTGAGATAAAGTTGAGAATAGTTGAAATAAGCAGAAACCGCGCGTTTACGTAACGTTACCTTTGCCTACGCTGACATTATATTTCACCGCTTGGTCGATGTCTGTCAATATTTTGGAAAAGAACATACTTTACGCATCAATCGGCCATAATTCACAGCAAGCCATCAAATACGTCTTATTGCTAGAGTACCTCGCTCTCTTTCCCTCTCCGCGCGTGTATATGTGCGCAGTTCCAAAGAAAGATCAATCCACATTGGCACAGTTGTCGTCTTGTCGGTTCGCCTCGTGTCTACGCGAAGAAGGAAGGAGAGTAGAAAGGAGGGAAAAAAAAGCAGAAAACAATAAAGCCCTTATATACACGCAAAATCGATTTGATAACCTGTGGCGTTCCGTCTCCCCCTACTACCCTCCTGTTGCCACCTCCCTGCCGTTCCCTTGCGGCCCTGGCTGGCTCTCCTGCTCGCTCCCCTACCCTCTACACCACTCGGAAAATGAAGAGCGCCACGACTCGCCACGTTTCTCTCTCTCTCTCTCTCTCTCTCTCTCTCTCTCTCTCTCTCTCTCTCTCTCTCTCTCTCTCTCTCTCTCTCTGCTGACGTGCCGACCGACGCTGTGTACACACGTGTATAGACACACATGGACTGTAAAGCCAGGGGTGAAAAAATAGCCCGATTGGACCTGCGCGTTATAAAAGGATATAAAAATCACCACCCTCTAAAATGTGGGAGCATATCCCAGCGTGACAACACTCGACCGCATGTAAAAAAAGGAGAGAATACTTTTCCATGAGCAATAAAAGAAAAACAGTGTCACCTCTCTCTCTCTCGCTCTTGTACAGTAGAACGCGAGCCAAGATACGTACATAGCTGACGGATCGAATAGTGAATCCCAAATAGCATCTCGCGTCTTTATACAGCTGACTTAGCAAAAAAATTACTACGTTCCTTTCAATTAACATGTATGTTCCAGGCTGTCATGAATTGGGGATCTCGTCTCTGAGCCGAAATCCCCAAGCTAGCCTGTCTGCGCCACTTACCTCAGCCGCAGACATTTTCCTAGGCTTTTTAATCTGGACAGCTAAATGAAATATTGATCGAGAGTAAAAGCAGTTTCGCGTTGCTCTTTTTATCTTCATCATTTTTCAAGCTCATCCCAAACTTTACGATTAATTCAGAATTCTTGAAACTCACTCAACTTCTCTTTCTCTGCATCTTCGATTACTTAACGTATCGTTATCAATAAGCGGTCTACCTACTTTAAGCAGTCCTATTTCGGCTGTTATCGAGCTAAGCTTTTCAATTCTGCTAGTACTGGGGAAAAGTTTTCCGCGGTCTTGTAAATATAAACAACCAATGGTATCTTTCATCACCTGACACACTTATAATCAAATCAGTCAAAAAATTTATCCGTCGATCTCATGAGTCACCGCTTATTATGAGCTACTAAAATAACAGACGACCGACAGATTTTTGTCGGGAAAAATTTTTAATGCTTTAATTTAAACTTTACACGAGCAGACTCATTGAAATTTTTCACGAATATGCATATTACCTGCAATGAGATTTCTAGTATGAAGGCAACGTCGAAAAGACTTTTTCAAAAGTAAATTACTCCACATCGAGTTACTAATGACTCTTGATTTAGCTTTGAGACCTGGCGTTGTCTTTTCATGGTGTCGCGTTTACGTAAGCGGTTTTATATCAAATTTCCATCTGATCACTACACAAAATTAATTACTTAACGAGTTGGCATTATTTTTGCTGATATTCAATGAGGTGCCTACGGAGTGTGGGGTAAAGCATGAAGCGTGATTTTTACAAAATTAGAAGACAGTGATATAAATCGTATCATAGAACATCATAAAATACCAAAATTGCTAGAAACTATCTGTCTACCAAATAAAATAGTACTCGGAGTAGTAATTTTTAAGAGAAATAGCACGTTTCGACGAATAAATGCATTTCCCAGAACGGTAACTTTGATCGTTGTCTCGATCATCGTCGATTTCGACGTAGTCAATACATGACAAGAATAACCCAATAACATTCAATGAGCGAAGAATGAAATTGCACGTTGTAGTTATGCAGTAGGACGCAGTTTGGATGGACAGGAACTTTGTTTCGAATCAATTGTCCGTATTATCAGTGAAGCGATTGCGCGATCTATCGACAGTTATTGAGGCGCCGCTACGAATAAGATATGTGGTTGCGATCACGGCACTCCAGGTTATTTAAACGGAGAATGGCACTGATTGTTAGGGCGATGGAGCGCAGCTGGTTTTGAAGAAAAGTCGAAATAAGATGCAACCAGTGAATCAGTGAATGAGCGGCGTTGTTAGAATTGTGCCCCGCTAACGGGCGAAATTGAAATGTCGCGGCCGTTGGATAAGGCAAAGGAGAATTAAGGAACGAGATAAAGATGGAAGTGTGGCGGGGGGAGAGACGGGGGATTGAAATAAGTCGAGCGATTTAAATTTGCCCTTGACCGCAGCTTATCAGATCCCGCGAGAGAGAAGGAGAGGGCTGAAAGTTACGGTACCTGCGGAAGGTGGGACGGCGCGGCTCTTTTCTCCGGGATTGTGCCGAGAGAGTGAGAGAAAGTTGCAGCGACGACGAGTTATAATAGCTGGCAAGGCTGCGCGAGAAATCAATGTGGCTTTGGGGCGGATTCGGGCGCAGTCTCACAACGGGACAATTGTTTGCCCTCTCGGCGTCCCAGAACATTCGTCGGAATATGGGCAGGGCTTCGCGGTCCAACTTCACTAGAGTCAAAGGCCAAGATGTGATTCAGCTGGGCACTGCAAGTTCCAGCAGAGCTATGTACGCTCGCGAGCCAAGCTTCTGCTTACTCTCAGGTCTGCCTATCCCAGAGCAGCCGATGGAGATGCACCTTTTGAAAGGCCAGCCATCAGTGGACTGAAAAAAACAGATGAAACTCGAGGCGGCAACCGAGCAATAGCAGCTGCCGGACGTCGAGGCTTCTCTGTGCCGCTGAAGAACGACAGTCAATGCGTTGAGTGCTGGACAGCGCCGAACATCGCAAACATCACCCGGTCAAGATCGAAAGAGCAAGGTGCTACATGGGTCTGCCGGATCTGACAGTAATCACGCAGCTATCTTGCGGCTCACAAGGGAGTCTCACAATCTCGAGCTTATTTCTTCAGATAACTCGACAGCAGGCTGACGTCTGAGCAGGAATGACTTTTCGTTCGCGCTTATCGCTATCCCCTTTATCTTTCGATATCACTCAACGCTGTGCACTCGTTTTCACTTCATTTCCGTTTCGATTGCTCGCTCTCGCATATTCCTCACTCTCGTTCATTGTTTGGTCCCAGCGGTTGTTAATCAATTTTCAGCCGCAACCTCCTCTTCGCTGCAACCAATTTCATACTTTCGATTGCTTGCCTCAGTTCAATGAGACTTTATCTCAGCATCGCATTGTTGCTGGCAATTCTAAGAGATCACCGAGTAAATGAAATTGGTGTTTCTTGTTAATGTTAATTATCTAGCGTATCGTAACAGTTCACGAAATTTTAACAGGAGAAAACACCGCCGTTTAGTAAATAGAGTGAAACGGAAAAATAATGTCTCGCCTTTGTCTGATTCTGGCAAGTCAACAAGAAGCTCTTATTTTCTGTAAAATATGATTCAATAGCTTCGTATCGTTTTGTAAAAAGCCTCCAAATCCTTAAAAGATTTTAAGTCTAAAAAGTGTTTTGTTTTGTCAGAAATATAAGCGTTTCATTAAGATTGCATGATAAATTTCTGCATACGACGTTACGAGTATTATGTTTGAATGTTTACATAATTATTACTCAAATGCTCAACAAGTACTATTTGCTTCGCTACTATAATATTCAATGTAAAAGCTTGAGCTGCCTTGACATTTTGAGCCTCGAAATAAGCTGTTGAGCTCCGGAGGAATCTGACCGTTCTGTAATAGTTATTTTCAATCGTTCATTTATGCAAATTACGCAGCCTATCTGAACTTATAAAATTGTTTGAACACTGTGGATACTGAGGGTTTCGAATTTCTTTTACTACAAAAGTTCATGCTGGAGCCGTTTCAGTTTTTCGAGCTCTTACGGAAGCCTACTTTTTGTACGTTTGTCATGTAAGGAAATGGTGTAATATTACTGAATGTAACAAAAACTTCTTATTTTTCGGTCGGCAAGATGGTACTTGAAAATAGTACAATAAGCCGAGAGAAAAATTACCAAGCAGCAAGAACACCGTAAACTAAATTTGAAAAGTCATATAAAAAAGATATTACTTGCATTAAAAAATTCCAGAACTATGAGCGACGGTCAACAACTCACGGAAAAAGGAAGGCGAGCATACTAGCCATGATAAAAAAATCGAGATTCAAGTGGTGGTAGCCTTCATAAAAGTAAGGGGCTCGTCCTACCCTGAGGGCGATTACTCTCTCTAATCTTCGATATATCTGACCACTGTTTTTAATAGACGTTTATGGATAAGGTAGTACTATAAATAGCAACTCTCTATAATGAATAGTGAAAGAAAACTAGTTTCAGCGAGGTGGACACAATCAGCTTATCAATCCTAAATTTAAAGTACATTTAATGGTAACGTCACTTGAAGTAATCAAAGTTTATGAACTGCTGTGTCACATAATTTACGTCAAACTCCATCACCGTAAATAGATGGCAGTCAACTTTCCATATGATTTACTTGATAATTAGTTTGCGTTCATAATTTGTCTAAATTTTACAACGTTCTTTTTCCAGGACAAATATACATAATGCGAATCCATTCAGATTTTTTACAAGAGTTCATCAATCTTCTTCGCGAGCTAGCAACTTGCGTGAATAGATATTATCGGGCGTCGGCTTCGCTGTAATGTTCGGTGTCGTACTTTTAAATATCGCCGAGTCTTACTCGAATCAAGCCAGGTCTATTTTACCCAACTAAATGAGCAAACAATCAATGCAATGGCTTATATTTCGTGCGAGGTCACAAACTCATGCCGCGGATACTCTACTTGCATTAATTGAGAAGCTAGTTACGTGTCATGCTTTTCACTTTGATCTACGCCTCTAAAATATTCTACGAAATTGTTAATGATTTTACTTGCGTGTATAATTCCAATTACTCAACTATAGTTTCATTTGGATTAATGCAATACTATCTTTTAAATGTTTTGGGAAGTCCTCTACCTTTTATCAATCATCCGAAATTAAGTTTTAAAATATTTCGTGATCAATGAATTTTTTGATATCGTTTTCAACTTCAACTGATTCAATAAAGCAATTTTCTTGTTTAATAATATACCTAGCGATTCGACACTCGAATCCAGTGTTTACTTTATTAGTAAGATTGAAAATGATAAACGACCAACTTGTGAAAGTAAAGAAAAAATTTAATGCTTCGCGTGCTTTCTACGTATAAAAATCTTTCGTTATTAATTTTTCATGGGTTACAAACCCATTATAACATTAGCGTCTGTCGGATTAAAAGTGGCTTGATAAGATCGAGGAATAAGTTTGCAGATTACATCAGCGGTTAAATTTAGTTGAAGCTTCTAGTTGCTTAAATTATCGACATATTTCCACAGTGCTTTATTTGCTTGGAAAACGTATACAAATTGCATATATATATATATATATATATATATATATATATATATATATATATGTAGTATTATACTCTATTGCACAGCTTATTGGCTTGTTATTTTTTTGAAAATTCGAGATGACTAATCTGTCCCACTCCAAAGCATAAAGCTATTATTCGCTAAAACTTTTTCAATAAATGAATGATTCAGATGTGACTTGGATTATTACTAATTCGAGAATACTGATGTAAACAGCAGTTAGATTTATCATAGCTTCAACTCCAGGGAAAGCTAATAAGTTTATATATAAAGTTGAGAATAAATAAGTACCTGGCAGTTCTAGAAAATTCGACGTCCTTCTTTGTCGACCCCGTGGATGGGCACTAAAGTTCAACGGGCCGATTTCTTCATTACTTATATTTGAGGCTTGGCTATCCCGTGAACCACGTCGGGATGCAAGGTAAGCTGTAACAGACACATCTACGTTCATTCATATTGATAATTTTCAAATTAAAAGCATATTAGTTGCGCAAAGGTCTCAAATCAGAGTTTGAAACTCTTTAATATGTAGCGTAATCATGTCAAGTAAATTGAACTATCACTACTGTTAAACATGCGCAAATAAGGAAGTGTTCCGGTGGATTGATAGGATAACAAATTTATGAAACTTTCGTCTTCGTAACGATAAGATCATTGTTTTCCATCAAAAGATCAAATTTATCAGAACACGGCGAAGGAAGCTGGAGAAAGCTTGAAGACAGTTGAACTGAAAAAAAACTACAGGAGAATCCAGTAAATTTTCTACTTAACAGGAGGGACGAAACGGTAAGTGACCGAAGGAAAATGAAGGCGTTGGAATTGAAACTCGCTGCACGCGTATATATATACAACAGAGATAAAAGCAGGTAATTATTGGAATTCCGCTTTAACGCTTCACGCGACTTCGTAAGCTTGGTCCGATTATAATCCTGATATTGAGCAACAACGGACGGCAAATTTCCTGGACTCTCCCGCTCCCCTGTTCCAAATACCCGTATCTCTAACGAGGTCCTCGCTCACGCGCTTGCCCTTTTCCTACACAGCTTATACTTCGACAATTCTTTAGCCTGCTCTATACTTTTTCTTCTATACGTTTACTTTACGTCCTTTTTTTGAAGGTAGAGACAGGCCGACAAATCAAAGGGGCGTTTTTTTATTCGACAATGGCGATTTCGTCCCTTCCTGGCGATAGTTTAAGCTTAACGAGGCCTGTTCTTTCTTTCTTGGACTACATTTTTTTACGTGCTGCGAGAACAAAACAGCGAAAATTCACGATCGATTCACCATTCTGAGCCGTGCGCGTCCATTTATTTTGCAGAAATTCAATTGAACAAGGCTGTCATTGTATGTGCTCGATGAAATAAGAGACGCGAGAGGTGAAAGACGATAGCTGGTACAGCGCGGGCCGCAACGATTGCTCCGAAGGTGGAGGGCGCCCGAGTCGCGAGTAACAGTAGTCAACGGCGCGACCAAGTGTCAATGAACAGTGTAGTGAAAAGGAAAGAGCGCGAACCTAAGCCACCTTTCATGGATCCGCGCCTCCTGGGGCTGGAGAGCATGGTGACCTCGGTGTCGGCGTCGTTGAGCTCGGTGAGGTCGCTGGTGGACTTCCTTGACACGGTCCGGTCTGGAGCCTCGGCTGCGTCGGCCGCCTCGGCCTCCTCGCTACCGGCGGCATCGCTGGCGCAGCTCTGGCTGTTGCTGAGGTCGCCGGTGGCGGCGCTCACCTGGCTCTTGGGCTCAGCCGCGCCGTGGACACTCGGCTGGGAATTGAGGCTGCTGGAGTTGCGGCGCCTCTCGCGCGGGCTCTTGGCCAGGAAGACGTGCGAGCTGGAGGCGGCGCGATTGCCGAGGCCCGGGCTGCAGCTCGGACTCGGCGAGATCGGCGACTTGGGCGGATAGCTCAGGGTCTTGCTGATGTTGCGCCGCGGGTTGCAGAACTGGAAGACCGGCGGCGTCGAGCCGCAGCTCGGGCTCTTCGGCCCAGCCGCGGACGAGCTGCCGGCCAACGAGCTCGGGCTCTTTGGTACCTTTAATCATTCATACGCACGCTTAAAGGCAGGCCTGCCGGCGGCTGGTGTGGGAGTCGATTCGCTAGCGCCAGATGCGCCCGCTTGGGCGAAGGCCGCGCGCGACCGCCGGGAATATAGCTAAAGCGAGCCAGCGGCTCGGAGCTCGCGCGGGCAACCGAGCGTTATTTGAAAGGGCCGAAAATTAATACGCCTGCCTGGCTGCGCGCCGTGCTATGGCTATGGCTATGGTTGCGGAGGTCAGCGCGAGCAACGTCGATTGGTCGGGAGAGGTCGCGGCTGCAAGTGACGCACCTGCGGGCTTTTGCAGTCGGCCGCCCTGACAAAGTCCTCGAAGTCGAAGCTGGTGTTGGGCGTCTCGACGTCGCGGAACTCGGCCGGGAATTCGAAGACGCGCGGCGTGCTGGGCGACCTGCTGCCAGTCGCCGACAGCTGATTGGGACTGCGCTGACCCGACAGCGCCGGCACTTGCGGCAGTTGTCGGGGACTCTTCGGCGACTTGAAACTCGCGGGCGCTGGACTGCTGTTGTTACTGCCGATACTCCCAGACATTGTCGCGTCGCTCGTCAGACTGTCCGTCTATCTTCCGCGGACGATTAGCCTTTCGCTGTGGGTTCCCTCTCCTATTCCGTCTGCTGATCGACTACCTGTAACATTGTGCAACGGTTTGTGCTTCGTATTCCAGGCACGGTTTTCCATTAATTTTCAGCTTGTAGAGCTCGCTCCAAGCGTGCAACAGCTGTTTTCAGCTCGAAGCTCGCGATTACAATTAGAGTTGCACGGTTTCGTTGTATGGCACGCTTTTAACGTAAAGCCTTCGCGCTTTGTACGAGTAACTTTACGAAAATCTAACAATTACAGTAGTGTAAATTTCATCAAGATGATAACACGAATGACAAACTATGTAACCTCACTGAACACTTTCTCAAGATGTACCAACTTTAATCGCTACCGGTATTATCACTTGAACGATTATCGTTTATTGTGTTTATAAAATTTAATGTAGTTTATAATACAGAATAATAGACTTGTGGAAATGCGGTCGCGCGTGAAAATATAATTGACGATAACTGAAAAACAAGTGTCTCGTTAAAAAATAAAACTCATCCAAAGTACGTTTACGCTTGCATGGATAAAAAAACGAGAGAGAAAGAGAGAGAGAGAGAGAGAGAGAGAATCTCAGGATTGGACGACGGGAAAATTGATGGCAACACAGAAGTAAATAAGACCGTAAGTCGTGTGACGGTAGACAAAAAGTTTGAACAATAATTAGGCTTTCCCTGGCAGCACCTCACCTGTCATGGCGAGTCAATTTGTACAAAGATTCGCGCGAAAGCTCGGCAGATCCTCTTTTCCCTCGGTCGCAAATTGGCTATTGACATTATAGCAGCTCGTCTCCCCTTCGGTGCCGGCAGCCTTTATTCGTGCCCGCGCCTCTCGGTGCTATCTTCTAGTATACAGTTAGAGTGCACGTATGCGGCAGGCCAGCTAAAATAGTGACGGCAGCGTTATCAGCAACTCTGGCCGCGGCAGAAAGTGCTGAGCACAAGTCATCGCACGTACACATGGGAAGGCTGCCAGCCGAGGGAGAGAATTAAGGGATTCGAACGCGCCAGCTGTGCCAGGCCTCGCACAGTTACGTTCGGCATCGCGCGAATCACCTCGCGCGTAGTCGCGCGTAGACTTACTAACGAGCGCCGATTGTTCCTGGGATTCCGCGTCCGTTCTATGCTAAGTACCTTCGTTCGCGCGCAGCGGTGGCATTGTTCTGCGAGGGCCACTTGCGAGCCCTACTCGTAGCAAATCTCTCGCGGCAAATCTAATCCTTCACCCCCTCCTCTCTCTCTCTCTCTCTCTTCGAGTAAGATTTTTCCAGATCGATGCGGGCTCGCGGGATTGACCGGGCAATCTCGTTTGGAAGTCTAAGCAAACAGAGGGAATGGGAAGAGGCTGCGACACGAGGAACAGCGTAGCAACGTGGAGGCAAAGTTTTCCGGCGGCTGGCCGTGGATTCGCAGCGTGCACAGGGATCGATGGGGGACGCAGCGCAGCAATAGGAGTGCAACGGCGCGGCTCGCGCTCGCGTCACGTGCCGCGACGCGCACAATATAATATAACTGGCTCGCCGTCGCTGCGCAGCGTGATCGTCTATAACCTGTTGATCGCGGCGAGTACTTGCGGCCGCGACTAGCCCGAGCGTGAGCAGCCGCGCCGCCGAGGGGAGCGCGCAAAGAGCACCGGAGGAACGCGCCTCGACCGACAGACGAGCTGGGAGCGCCGCCTCCTGCCGTCGCGCGCGTCGAGCTAAGTCCTTTTGGCTTGGCGCGCGGCGCGTTACTGCTGAGCTCACGTCGAGGACACGGCTAGGCCTTTCCGCCCTCCCCGGCACTGCTGATGTTGCTGCCGCTGCCGCTGCTCTACTCCACTCTCTGCTGCAGCCCCCTCCTGCGTACGTCGCCCGAGCCTGCTCGCCCACTCCTCCCTCTCGCTTCCTCTCGCTTTCGTTCTACCCCGCAGCATTCTAGCGTTCGCAATCCCCCCCCCCCTGTCTAAGCCTCTCGCTCTCACCGTCGCCTGTTGAATGATAGCGCGCAATTTTTTGCGCTCGCCGTCATTTATGCCCGATCAGTTGCCCTTCTGATTTTTACCGGTTGCTATTTGCCAGCTTTGCTTATTACTTTATTTAACATTCTTCTGCTTTCTAACAACTTCATTATTCGCTGTCAAATCCAATTCAATGTTAGATCTTATATATATCGCATGTTAACTTGGTGATACTTGGATGTATATCATAATATTCTTCTCCTCCAGATTATTTAAAAAACTATTAGAAGCTTAACTCATCATCGACTTTATTTTCTACCTTCGCAGAATTATTTGCATAAGCTATAAGCGTCGCAGTAAACAAAAATGCCTGGCTGAGTGGTGGTTAATGGCTTTGCCAAAGGTTTCTCCGAACTGATAAATTAATGAATAAATGAATAATAAGCGATATTTAACACGCACTAAAGAACTTCTGCCAAATATTGTGAAAATATATGAAAAGCTCAAAGTATCTCGTGGACAGATTTTTTTTTTCAAATAGCTAGAACAAGGCTATTTTTCTAGATGTGATTAAAAAATGGAGGGTGTATGATCTAGATGCGATGAAATGAACAAAACGTTTGACACCACGTATCATATATTGGAAACTGGGGAATACTCTATTATCTTATCTACGGAACCTGTTTTACAATGGTAAAATATTTTACTATGGTACAAGTAATCATAAAGTAATAATAATAAGTAATAAAGTAATCATATATATATAGTTTATATTTGTGTGTACATATATATACATATATAGGGGGCTCCGCCCCCCCTGCGCACTCCGTGCGCCAACCCCCCGTGACTATTATAATGATTGACGTAATATTTAGTAGTGACCTTACTGTAATATATAATTACATGACAGTAATTTAATAAAATTAGTTTACCAACATAATAATTCTTTAAAAATGGTGTCCTTATCAAAGGACCCAACAAAAAATGACTTTAATAAGGACATTTTTATTAAAGGGCCAACGAAATAATGACTTTAACAAGGGCACTCTAATTAAAGGGTCCATTGAAATAACGGCTAAAAATCGAGAAAACCTATACTACCAGTACACGGCGACGGCGTGGTCGCCGGCGAAATAATTTTATATATATAATTATAAAAAGAATATTGTATGTTTAGAAATATTCTTTTACGCTAGAATTTCTAGTACCATTTAGCACAACGTTTAAACGTGAAGTTTACGCTTGAAGTATATTTGATTAAAAACAAATGTTTACTGAAAGATATTTATCTGTTGTAGAAAACAGGATACAGCTAACCTATGCAGGTAAAAGATGATGATGATTACATTTTTTCTAATACGCTGTTCTAGAATTTTAGAGGAAAATCATTATTTTAATTATAATTATTTGATGTTAGCTGAGAGCCAATTTTAATAACATTGAGTGCTGGCATTATTGAACTATTCAGTCGAAGCTCTTTTGTGTGTTTGGTCTTGAGCTATTGTGCACAATAAAATGGCGCATATCAGCGTGTATCAATTCTTACGCTACGTTCCTGGGCACAAAATTTTGCGTGTACAGTAAAACCGTGCATAATTGTCCGCACGCCTCTGAAAAAACCTAATTTTAAAGAATTAATAGCATCTTGAAGTAGCTAAGTATGTCTGTCAATGCTGCAAATATTATTGAAAAAACAATAAAGGTATGAGGGAAGCAAAGGCAAGGAAGGAGCTGTAAAATTAATCAGGCATCAGTGGCAAGGCTGTTGGAAAGGCAGTGTCGAATACCCAAAGCAATATCCGCGCGCAGCACCTTATCTCCCACATGTTAGGTTGAGTAGGCTCTCGGCACAAGAAGGAAGAATAGGAGGCAGTGCGCGTGCACACGTTCTGGCTAACTGTAACGAGGGAAGCTTGGCTGCCAAGGTGGCTGGCCGGCAATAGCGCCTCTCCATTTTTCTTCTTCTTCAATACACGTCCCTCCGCAGAGATTTTTTTCTCTCACGTCCGTCATTTGTTTCACTTTATTCTTGGAACTACGCAACGTCTCGATGCTAGACCCTGTTGCTGTCGCCTCGGGTCTTCCCCCCTTCCACCACTCTCTACCTTATCTGCTTGGCTATATAGCTGGCGTGTTTTTTTTTCTTATTTGGGAGGGGGTCTACGAACGGCACTGCTGATGGGTCAGCTAAACTTGTCTTCCCTACAATAGGTATCCACGTTTTCTTTGTGTACCGACAAGTAAACAGACGTGAGCCATTTGGTATACTGCCCTCGACTTCGGCCTAAAGCTCGCGCGCATACACTCACAAATCATCCCTTTTCATCTTGTTATCACGCAACAAGTCTTTCGGTAACAGACGAGTTGAGTTGTTGGACGCTATCGTACCAACATCGCTCAAGTTACACATCTCAAGCCAGTCCGATCACGTTCTCACTGCTGAAGAATTTCATTGGAACGATAACAATAGTACATTAAGATACGTGGCCCAAAAGTTGGATTTACTGGCCTGCGTACTATGATGACCGACGAAGCCAAGTGTCGTATACTATTTTTCTTTATCCCCTGGAGCTACACCTTGACGCATTCACGAAGGAAAATTTCTAAATCCTGAACGGGTCAGTCATTAGCAATTCAGTCGTTCTTTAAAAATCAAATTTATATACAAATAAAAATGAAAAAAAGATTATTTCTTATATCAAACCACTGACTTACAAATAAAACAAGTATGATATAAATTATAATAACGTCAATGTTTTGAAAATTACAGTGTATAGTACAGAGTATACAAAATAAAGATAATATAGTATATGGTTAGACTATATGGTAAGTTTGTGTCGTCATATATGCTATACGGATATAGTATAAGAATTTGAAGAACATAGCTGCATGGAAATATAAGTAGTAATGGATGTGTGTAGAATAAAAGAACAACTGATAATGTTAGAAACATTTTGTCTAGCATTAGTACGATCTAAACGAAAAATTCAGCTCTTTATCGCTATCTTAAGGAATATGAGCTCATTACAATCCGAAATGAAAGCCACGTTATAGTGAAAGGAAACAGCGATAGTGATGATTTGGTGTACATGTTGCAACTGAAAAATATTTTCCAAAACTGTAGAAAGCTACTCATGCATAATTAGGAATAGTAATTGTGAAAAAATTGGCATATAGCGAGATTTACTTGCAAGACGTGCAACCGGAAACAAGAGACAGTTCAGAAAGGCATTGCAATTAAACCAATTTTGACGCAAGGGTTTGATAGCAGAGAACAAGTCGATTTGGTGAATTTTCTATCGATTCCTGATAGCGGGTTACACCGTTACATTTATCCATCATTCATTTCCAATTTCCATTCATAAAAGTAAGTTAGAACTATTAGGGCGCGATTATATTGGTTCTTGGAGGCCGTCATATTGAATAAGTCTTTATTCCACTTTCGATTGGTTGTTGGAGATAGAACATTTAAGCTTTTGAGCAACAAAAATTTTTTTAACTATTATTTTATTGGCTAACTTTTATCTGATAATATTATTGTACGTAGAACATTAAGTTGCACGTGCGCAGTACACTTATAGTCTATACATAAATCCATTCGTAAAAGTATATTTATATAATTATATCACAAATTATATCACATCATAACAACATAAAAGTGAACTAAAATTTGAGGACGCGACCATATTAAGTAAGTCGTTATTGTTATTTGACTTGCGATTAGCTATCTTGAAAATCGAGCATTCGAGCGTTTTAAGCATCAAAAACTTTTTTATTTATTATTTTGTTGATTAACTCTAATCGGATTATATTATTGTACGCGGAACATTATGTTGCACGCGTGTGGTACGCGCGCTGAAACACTTTTAGTGGTTATTGAATTACCAAGACTATGAAACTGAATATCTCTATCTACCACCCCGTAAAATCTAAGCATGCAGTGGGATGAAGGAACTTAATGAGATATCGACGAAAATTAACTTGGAAAAAATATTGAAAAACTACGCTGGATTAATAAGGAGAGCGAAACGCATAAATAATTAGACGTAATTTAGTTTTTGTTAATAAAAAATGTCCAAAAGTTGAAAACTCACAGGTCAGTAGAAATTGAATATGTGTAGCGTTTTTAATAAGGTTTTTATAGAAATGAACGTGTTACATCGTTAGCAAAAATCAAACGCAATAACTAATCCTTTTCAGTACTGATTCAAGACTTTCTGAATTAAAAAAATCTATTTCTACCAAATACTTGACATTGACGGTTATTTCAAAGAATGACCGATTGCTATTAATATAGTTCTTATTGTAGGGGCGTAATTCTTCTTGAGAAGGTTATTATACCACAAAAGTATATTATTAATAGATCTTTTAGGTGTACATATCGCTATAATGAAAAATAACATCTTCCCCGACAGAAATATACATACGAATATCGTACGGAATCCGTATTGAAACCGTACGTATTTTCATATAGAATTCGTACAATATCTGTGAAATTTTCAATACGATCACCGTTCGGTTACCGTACAATGATTATCCGGAAAAAACCGTACGTTTTCCGTACATTTCTCGTTGGAATTTCGCAAAAATCTTATACGTAATTTATATAGATTTTGTGTGAAATCCGTACAAATTTTGTACCGAGTATTTTGACCGAGTGACACGGACGGCCTTCTTCTTGGGGTAGTACGGTCCAGATGAAAATACTTGGAATCTTCGTGAATTATTTTTTTATGATTTGTTAGTATATTGTAACGGTTTTCGTCGAGTATGTATGGAGGTTTTTAATGATTTTTACAATGTAATTATAGGTC